GCGGACCTGTATCGCATGTTGTCGAGCTTGACTTCAAACCGGGGGTTTAGGAGCCACTCTCGGACAATGAGTCCGAGTTTCTCAGCATCGTCGCAGTAGGTGCCGAATCGGCTTTTGAGAACATAGGACACGTTGCCTTCTTCTTGCCCGGGCATGTAGCTGCTCAGTAGAACGGGCAGCCCCCGTGTAGTGGCTTCCGCGATGGTCCCAGGACCCGCTTTGGTTACAATCAAGTCACTAGCGCCCATGAGTTCATCTATGTTGCTAACGAAGCCATACACCACGGCGTTAACGTGGATGTCGTTGTCCTCCGTCTCCGCACGCGCAGACAATGGATGCACCACCGGTTTTGGAGGCCCGCCGTCGTTGTTGATCAGACTCTGCCGCTTCGTCTTCACCACCTGGCCAGCCTCATTGTCCAGGTCTCCGCTCAACTGGTCTCCTAACTGTTCTCCTAATTGCCCACCTGACTGTCGCCCAGGGCTTTGCCGCCCAGGGCTTTGCCGCCCAGGGCTTCGCTGCCCAGGAAGAAGTTGGCTGGGAGTCACTTGGTCTCCGATCGGGTCGTTGGCGTGGAGCATGTGGGATTCGCGGCTTCCCGAGCGTTTGCAGTCCACCTTGAGCGGTTTCATTTCCTCTATACCGTTTTCCATTTCTTCCAGAAGTTTCTTGACGCGTTGTTTCTCGGCCTCCACGGATTCTTCTCGCATGAGGGCCGCAGCGCCCTGTTCAAAGTCACTGGGTAAATCGACATTAGAGGTGGCAACAGGTTGGGCACGACGGGGCATTTGATCCATGCCGGTGGGCATAGGGACGAGGTCTGGTTCCTTTTTGTGGGAGCTGGGTAAATCTCGCTCTACGCCTCTAGAATCAACGCCTCTAGAATCAACGCCTCTAGAATCAACGCCTCTAGAATCAACGCCTCTAGAATCAACGCCTCTTGGTTCCATGCGGAGGGGCGTTTCTACGTACTGTGCAGAGCGAATGGTGATAGGCTTTTCGGATGCGGCACGATCCTTGGCGAAGTACTTACGTGCGTCGGTATTTACAGCTCCGGGACCGGTATATTGAGCGCTGCGGTTATCTAATGTAATTTGGTTTGGATATATATTATTAAGGTCATCGATAACCTTAAGCACTTTCGCACGAGTGTGTTCATTTTTTCCGCAGACTATAATGACCTGTAGTTCGCTGAGTAGATCGCCTTCCTCAACGTTAATCTGTTTGACTTCTTCGGACGATTTTAGTGACCATGTCATGACACTTTCTAGAACTGAATCAAGTGCTCCGACTCCCTCGCCTCCACCGACGAGAAGGACAGTGGGATATTCTCTGCGTAGCCCCAGTTTTTGACGCATGCCTGCCGGGGTAGGCGGGTCTTGTTTGGTCCAGAATTGTTTTCTGAGTGGCAGACCAAAGTGTTTAAGTCTCGCTTCATTAACTCCCTCTGTTCTAGCCGCCTGTAGGATTGTAGTCGAAGGTACATAAACACGTGTTGCTCTTGGGTGAAACCAAGTCGGATGCGCACCCCCAAGATCTGTTACCACCGTTACAAACGGAGGCTTGTACCCATTCTCCTCGTTCAACTCTTCCAAGATCTGTAATGGAACATGCTGACATAATGGGTGCACAGAAATTATTAAGTCAGGACGTAACTCATCCAATACCTTTTTGAACTTCTGTCCTGACACAGCATACCCACTAGCCAGAAATAAAGAACGTGATATCGGCGACTTAGAGCTCTCATACATCCAACGCCAACACCAAGGATTCTCAGACGCAAATCGGTACACAGAAACGAACGAATTAAACGGCCATGAACCATACTGAGTCCAAATATCCAAGATCGTAAATTCCAACGCATCTTCACCATACAATGATATCAATCCTTCCTTTATCGCCCCTATACCAACAATTACATTCACACTATTCAACCAACACACACTATTCAACCAACACACACTATTCAACCAACACACACTATTCAACCAACACAAGCGTGTGATCCACAAACGTGTGATCCACAAGCAAGTGATCCACAAACGTGTGATCCACAAGCAAGTGATCCACAAACGTGTGATCCACAAACGTGTGATCCACAAGCAAGTAATCCACAAACGTGTGATCCACAAGTTCATGGAACAAACCTGTGTGCGTTGTGTGTGTCCTCTTAAACGTGTGCTCCCATGTATTACCACAGTGTATGGCTCCCTCCGTGTAATGTGTACCTGCTGATGCCCGGTGCCCACCTCCCGTATCGGATAGAAGAATCAAGATTTGACGTTTAGGATCCATGGCAAAAAAAGTTTTTACGGGGTTTTAGTGATCACGTTCTTGTCCGGTGCAACAACTGGATCATGGACGGTTACCAATCCTGATTTCTTGCCCATATAAGCAGCGGGATGCTGACCATATATTTCAGGTGGCGCCAGTCTTGGTGGCTTCTTGAATGTCTTCGCTTGGAGTACTCGTCTTGCCTGGAATTCTAACGCCTTATGAGACTTACGTAATTGCTGTTGACAAGAAGTTAACTTGTCTTCTAACGATCTCTTTTCGGATTCTAACGTTCGTATATTTGCTCTAGCTACGTCTAATTTCTATAACACATCAATTAATACAGCATTAACTTAACAGAGTGAGTAGGAATGTCATTTCACAACCTTAGACAGTGGGGAGTTACCTTTGTAAGTTGTTCGATCTGTTGATATGCTGACGATTGAGTTGTGTTACCTGCAATCTCCAGTAGTATCCTAAAATTCGTGACGAATTCAACACGTCTGGCTCACCTTGTCAGCTGTGAATGTGAATGATTCTGCGCTTCCATCAGCACCTCCAGTTGCGGTGCACAGTTGATGACTAAAAAAGTGGCGGTGTTCTGGCGGTGTTCTCGTGGAGATCGCTCCAGATCTCGTGGAGATCGCTCCAGATCTCGTGG